TTATTACATTACATTGACTCTCAAGGCATCAAACCACTCCCAGCAAAGGTTGAAGCTATTACCAATTATCCTGAACCAACCTCGGTGAAGTCATTACGACGCTTCCTCGGTATGTGTAATTTTTATCGCCGCTTCTTACCACATTGTGCTGAAGTATTACAGCCATTAACCGATCTGTTGAAAACCGACAAAAAAGGTACGAAGAAAGAGAAGAGTCGGACATTCAACCTACCCCCTGACGTCAAAACAGCATTCGAGAAAGCAAAGTTGATGATATCTAATGCTACCATGCTACAGCACCTAAACACCGATCCCACAACAAACCTCATCCTCTGCACTGACGCCTCCCAAAAAGCAGTAGGAGCAGTATTACAGCAATGCGTTAATGACAAGATTACTCCTATAGCTTTCTTTTCCAAACGATTATCACCAACTCAAGAGCGCTATAGCACCTTCGGACGCGAACTTCTGGCTATGTACGTAGCTGTAAAACACTTCAACTTCCTGCTTCAGGGACGTGATTTCACCATTATGACTGATCATAAACCACTTTGCTATTCTTTCAACACGTCCTACGATAGACACTCTCCACGGGAAGCCAGACAACTGGATTACATTTCTCAATTCACTACGGACATCCAGTTCATCAAAGGCTCCTCCAACATTGTCGCTGACGCTCTATCTAGGAAGGATATCAATATGGTGGTACACAACCACAACATCAGCCTTGAAGCTTTAGCTAAACTACAAGTGGACGATGCAGATTTGAAGACCTGCGAAGAGAAGTCTTACTTGAACCTTAAACCTGTACCCATTCCTTTCTCAGATGCATCTATTATTTGCGACACTTCAACGGGTAACAATCGCCCCTTTGTGCCACAACCCTATCGGCGAAAAATATTTCAACAGCTACATGGACTGTCGCATCCAGGCATCAGGGCTGCCACGAAGCTTATCACAGAACGCTTTGTTTGGCCAAAAATCAATTCGGACGTTAAACGTTGGACACGTAACTGCCTCCAGTGCCAACGCAGCAAAATCCAAAAACACACTATCAGCCCGATCGGGGAATTCCCTATTCCCGACAAACGTTTTCAGCATATTCATTTGGACTTAGTTGGACCACTGCCTCCGTCAAACTCCTTCACCCATATTCTCACTGCGGTGGACAGGTTCACAAGATGGGCCATAGCCTGCCCTATAAAAGACACTTCAGCAGAAACGGTCGCCGCTGGATATCTAACTACGGAGTACCTTACATCGTCACTACCGACCGTGGTCCCCAGTTTCAGTCTATTTTATTTCAGGAATTCACAAGACTTCTGGGCGTAAACCACATCAAAACAACAGCCTACCACCCAGCAGCTAACGGCTTGGTCGAAAGATTTCACCGCCAATTGAAAAGCTCGCTGATGGCACAAAATGATACGACAAAATGGAGTGACGCATTACCACTTGTACTCCTGGGTATCCGTTCAACTATAAAAGAAGATATAGGTTGTACAGCCGCTGAGCTAGTTTATGGTACAACCCTTACATTACCAGGTCAACTAGTGGACCCAAACACTTTAACACCAACGGACCCAAATCGTTTTGCTAGCCAACTGCTGCAGACCATGCAACAGATCAAAGCCATACCGCCTCGTGAACATAACAATCGAATACAACTCGACAGAAATCTAGAAACATGCAAGTTTGTCTCTGTTCGAGTAGATGCTGTCAAAAAACCATTGAAACAACCATACGAAGGTCCATATAAAGTAATTAAACGCACACAAAAATACTTCATCATCAGCAGAGATGGCAAAAAGCAGACTATTTCTATAGACAGAATCAAACCTGCTTTCTATAAATCTACCCAAGTCAAAGAAGACAACGCCGTTGACAATCAACCCCTTTCACCCGTGACTGAAAAACCAGTGGAGGATAAAAAACTTAATACTAAGCCTTCTTGTTCAATACGCTCCGGCAGACCTATAAACAAACCCAAGCGTTATGTACATTTCGTCGATTAAAAAAAAAAAAACAAAATTTTTTTCTTTTTTTTACAGTGTACATAATTAACCATATTTTTCCCCACAATTATTCGTTTTGTCACATTTTTTTCATATAAAAAAATTTGTTACAATAATAAACGAGTAAACCCTATTTAATTATTCATTTGTTGTACACACACACACACACACAAAATAAGCAGTTCATTTTTTTGGGTTCAGTAACAGTTCTGTACATTAGTAACATTGTTAGCAAACCAAGATTTTAAATGACGGTATTCACATTACTTTTGTTTGTCATGCTATGCCACATCACCGCCATTTTCACGCAATAACACACTGTATATTATTAACGTACATGTCATACGCATCTCCACATTGTTAATTGGTTATTATTGTAAATATTATTTTTTTGTATAAATTTTTTATTATTGTTATTGTAACCAGTGTTAACTACGCACACTCTAGGGGGAGCTATGTGGAGATAGACCTGACAACCTTATTTTGTAAATAGTTTTCAATGTTATTTCTATTTGTTTTGACAATTTTTCACTGTATGTACACTTATCATTAAATGACTGTACGTGTTGTTTTAGTCAACGACCTTGAACACTTTTTCTGTTGTAATTCGAACATAGCGTGATACACATTTTCGGTTGTTCAGAACTACACTACTACGCACATACCTATTGTTCTATTGTCGCTCTTTACCAGGTCAATTGCGTTCTAAACTGGATATTATCCTCATTTCAGACTGCAGTGTCATTCCCATTATATCCTACGTCAAAGAAACTTATTGGCGTCATACTTACCTCTGTGGAATTATTACGCATTTATAATTGTGGATTTTTGAGACCAAAACTCAACAGAACACGCAACGACTAGCCGATTCAAGTAACGTCCCTAATTTGTTATTGTATTTGTAACATTTAACTTGTAAATATTAATATTACTATTGATTGTTATTAACTATGTTGATACTTTTGCGTTTATATATTGTTTGGTCAACCACAAACGTCTTCATCATCATCATCATCATCAACTTCATCATCATCATCATCCAAATCATCAACATCATCATCAACATCATGATACTCATCAACATTATCTTCACCAATATCATCATCATCAACATTAACATCACCATCATTATCTACATCATCATTATCATCATCATCACCGTCACCATCATCATTTTCATCATCAACATCATTAACATCAGCATCATCATCCAAATCATCATCATCATCATCATCATCCAAATCATCATCATCATCATCATCATCATCATCATCATCATCATCATCATATAGGGCGGCCTGCTTGAGCATCTGGGCTACCTGTTCCTGCCATCTAAATATTTCAACAAGTTATCTACTTTTGTTTGTTTTAAAATATCATTATGTTTAATAATCGCATAAACAAGTCTGCTGCGTTTCTGAAAAGTGTACAACCTTTCGTTGTCAAAGTTACAAAAAACTCAATAAGAGACAATGTAGTTGCTGGCAATATACAACGAAAAGAATGCACATTATTCAGATGTTCATTTACTGAACTACTAACACCTAACTGGAGATCACTCAATACTTATCGCCAGGACCGACCAAGAAGAAAGAAACGGAAACGTGTTGAAATACTTTGTGCTGAGAATTCTATATTGTACCAAAAATATAATATTGAATAAAGCTGATAATAATAATAATAATCATCATCCAAATCCTCATCATCATCATCATCATCATCATCATCGTCATCATCATCACCATCATCAACATCATCATCGTCATCATAATCATCATCATCACCATCACCATGATCATCATCATCATCCAAATCGTCATCATCACCATCACCATGATCATCATCATCATCATCCAAATCGTCATCATCATCATCATCGTATTCATCATCATCATCATCCATAACCTTCTCAACTCGAAGTGACCAGGTTTCCGAAACAGAACAAGACTCCTTTGTTTGATAGTTTTTAAATTCGGTGTTTTGCGGCTAGATGATAACACTGAAGATGGCTAAGGTTTTCATAAGCTATTCTGACATCTACCATATGTAGACTGATCTGATCACTCACGCTACCTTAAGCATTGACACAGATGTCTAGATGTACAAACTTTTCGACTACTCCTTACGGCTCACCCCCAAGTATGAGTGCATTCACAGGCTTCACTCAAACGTGTAGAAATACTTTGCCCTTCAGTGTAAAGTACATGCCACACAAACGGATATAGATTACCGACTGATTAAGTATAGATTGCATAGACTGTATCTTTGCAATGCAAGGCAGTATGATTTGAATATTTTTGATCGAAAAGTCTTTCATATCACCACTATCTACTCCAATCAAAGCTGTTTCCAGAATATCATCGATAGGAAAGTTGAATAAGAATGAATAGATTAAGGAACCATGCTGTAATGAAAATATACTATTTCGTCAATATTTTAACACCGTTCCATAGATCTATACACTAGTTTATAGTCATGTGAAAGGTTATCAATACATTGTGATGAATTAATTGATTTATTGCATGCATAATTCAAGGTTTTAATTGGTCTAAGTCCACTTAAATTACGATTTTTTATACATATCTTCTCTAGATGAAGGGTCTCAATACAATTGTTTTGGTAAAATATACAGGTCTCTGGAATTGTTAATTTTTGAAGCGCTTTTATTAAGTAATAATGAATAAACTAAAAGGAGTGATAATAGAATATTCAGTTTGATACTTGAAAAAGAATTTAATTAATTTGCAATAAATCGATGCTATTTGGCGTTTTAAAAGTATAAAGAGTTAGTTAAGTTTCAAGATCTAAAAAGAGTAACAATTTAATAGTGCTATCCAAATTTACTTAGAAGTATTGTTTATTTTCTTGATAAGTAACAAGTGTAAAATCTATACCGTTTGTTTAGATTACGTATATATGTGTTAAGTATAGCCAACGAGGAGTAAGATAGTTTGAAGTAGTTGGTTGGATCTAGTGGGTTCAAGTTATTTGTTAGATGACAAGGGTTAACCAGGAATTCATGAGATGTAAAGTAAGCGAACTCTTTACATTTATTGTCATAATCAGAGACGTACTTGTGAATTATTTAGAACTCAGCTGTCATAAAATATACAGCTTTCTATAATGATCTAATTGGAAAAGCATTTTTAATCACATCTTGTTCTGTAATGCACAATGGTCACAGTTTAACTCACAATGAAAATTCCTTAATTTATCAAGCAAATAGCTTAATCAAACTAAGAATTTTAAATGTGCCCATATCTAGCAATATTTACACAAATAAAAATAAAATGCACACCACAAATACCAACCTTAGACAAGTATGATAGTATCATACCTTTACACTTCCGTAATGTCTGATATTCAAACTTGTATTAACTACTAAAATTCAGGTATTCTCTGGGAATATTATTTATATAATATTATAAATTGTCGGAATTTTAGTCTTTCATTTCATCTACCTAGTAAAAATAATTATCATTTCTGTCACGACTAAACTAGACATTGTCATCATAGAGTAATGGTCATTTGTTTACTGATATCCAATATCCGATATCTTTGTGCCGAGCTTATTTGTAACCCCGGTGACATCTTGGTATAATAATAAGGTTTCAGGTTTTTGGTGCATCTGAACGGAAAGTAGTCTAGATATTGGATTACAATTGTCCTAGTGTACTCAACAGTTACTTTTTGTGTTTGTTAATCTTGAGTTTAAATGAATACGTTTATATTAGAGCAATGTAATTTTCTGGAATTATCGGTTATCACACAATGAGTGATTGGTTGCAATGTAGAGATTCTAAAATTAAAATATATACAGGAGCAAAGAGAAGACAATGATCTGAAGAAAATTTTAGTAATTAACTTCATTAATTGTATAAACGGCATAAATAAACAAAAATATAAAATTAATAGATAAATAGAAATGATAAGGGGAAAATACGTAGATATGTAGTTGGGTGTTCACAAAGTAACATGTAGATAAGTTGAATTTTAAACCGTTTTCTTCTACCTAGTTCTTTATTAACGGAAAGTCCTTTTGAACCTGATTAGCACACATCCTACTTTACCATTCCTTACTGAATTCATATCATCGCATACATTATGTAGTTATCCACAAGGCATTTTATCTAACTTGTAATTACATTATTTTAATAGTTGAGATCATGAGTCAATTAAAGCTAGACCACCATGGGAAACCTGCAAGCACTGGATGGCCGTTTCTCCCTATTGTTGGACTCCTCAGCAGTGCGCATCCACGATCCCATTCCGCGAGATTCGAAACCAGGACCTGTCAGTCTCGCGCGCGCGCACTTAACCACCAGACCACTGAGCCGGCTGGCATCCAACGGTGTTAATGTCCAACTTCAACTAATACACGAAATCGAGCGCCACATCCACCATTGTCATCAGTGAATTACTATCTCACAACTGACCCGGTTGAACTCCACTGGTCACTGCTTCTCTCTAGAACTCCAGGTTATACATCATGAAGCCAGTCACTAGTGAGCATATGTTGGTTAATATCAGAAGGGGTTTTGTGGATATTACAGTAATTTCAATGGTTGAGATCATGAGTCAATTGAAGCCAGACCACCGTGGTAAACCTGAAAGCACGGGATGGTCATTTCTTCCTATTGTGGGACTAGACCGTCATGTAGCATCGCCAATCAAAAAGTAATTTGATAGTCTTTACAGGGTACTTACGGTCATCTACAAATAGAGAGAAGAAAGCAAAAAACGAAAGCATAAAACACCAACATTAAAAATTGCCACGATAGGTTTGTTGTCATATATATGTTAAACTGTTTTGTCGTCTGTTGGTCTGGATAGATTTTATTTAAACTAACTAAAGCAATCAGCGGTAGTGCTTTTATAAAGGAACAAATAATATAAAAGTTGAAACTGTTAGAATCGTTTTGCGAATTATTGTCACCATTATTTATATTCTTAATATAGAATTACTATTACTATGTTTATATATTCCGTTTATCATGAGCGTGAGTTCAACTCATTAACTGCAATTACGTTCCTTATCATTACTGTTATTGCAAATCAGTTATTTACAGGTTGCCCTATGCAGAACCACATTTAGCTTGTCTATGTAAAATTGTGAATTTTCATTTTGTGTTGTAATGTGATCCAGTATATTTGTATATAAAGTAGTAGAGGCTGTCTGTTGATTCTTCTTTGAACTCTGGGGGGATAGAGAAAAGCTTACAAATAGTGGACGATAGGAGCTCGGCTTGCGTCGGTTCATGGTTAACTGTGTGGATAAGAAATGCACTTGGTCAAGTCTAGGAGCCCAGACTATAAAGGAAATGGCAGACGCGAGATAAGGAAAATTATAGTCGGAATTCCGATCAATGAAATTAGCATATGACATTGATTAGTTTCTCAAAGTACAACAAGTGTAAAGGAAAATATCAGCATGAAGGAAACCTTAATTAATACTTTCAGCAAGAACAATAAACAAAAATTTCATATCTCCATTACGTCACTTGAGACAATCAAACATGAATGCATAATGTCGTGGATTGATTTAAGTTATGCATTTACACTGCTGGATGCTGACTCAGAGGTCTAGAGGTTATAAATTCTCCCTTGAGATCGAAGGCCTTAGCTTTGATTGCTGCGTGCTGGACCTTCAATTTTCACTTCTGAAAAGCCCCATACTTGGACAGGATGGCAGTCCAGTGCTTCCAGGTTTTAAATCATGATTGGTTCATGATTTCAATAAAATTAAGCATTCACCACCAACAGATATAACTAGATGACTAAACCATATCATCACTCTTCTAGACGTGATTACATGTCATAGATGACCGTAAAAAAATCAAGTTCATACGTCATTCATACTCCAATAGATTAAGTCGTTGCTTATGATATCATCAACTCGGGATCGGGTCGCTAACCCCATACCCAACCCTCCCCCTTTATCCGAGCTTGGGATCGGCAATAACCCCAGAGTGGCTATTATTATTATCTTGACATTCTTCTTAAAAAGATATATAAACACACTAAAAATTCCGTACCAAAAGAAGTAAAAATGCGAAACATTGAACATTTTCTACTTTATTTCATATGATTATTATGTTAATAAGATTAATGTGATTCACTTCGAACAATTAAAAAATGAATATGAGAAGAAAATGTTTTGAACTAAATAAGTTACAATCAATTTCTCCCCTAACCATTCTCTCCCACCTCTACAAAATTAAGCAGAAACAAATGAAGAGTTGATTTCAAGCGAAGGGAGTGAAAAGAAAAAGAAGGAAAAATAAATAAATGGAACCAAGTGCAAAACAAA